TTTTTCAAAATGCTTAAAAAATTACTCTATTCACTCACTTTCACTCTTTTCTTGCACCAATACATTCATCTTAATTCTTATGAAATAGTCATCAACCATTATTACACAATTTGCTACAATTTTCACTGTTCACTCACTCTCTAATCGACCATCCTTTCGCTATCTCTACATTTAAAAAAAAAAAATACAAATAGGCATTTTGGATTTGAATAATATCCGTTCACACTCACAACGAGTCATCTCTCATAACTATTCTCATCAACATTCTCCAACCAACTAAAAACTTTCCAAAATGGATGGTATCTGACCACACCCCAAGCCTTAACAAAGCTGAAAAAGAGAAATATATGGCGTAACTTACACACAAGAGACCACATTCGCAAAAACTTCAAGCCAAACTTTAAACCGACAAATCACAAAATTTAGAAAACATTTTTACATCCACATTTGAAAACCTTCCCAAATTCGAGCCCGTCAAGGAATTTCAACAAATTGTCCACACGAACACATCTGCATGCTTAACATCTAGGGCTTCGATGAGCCTTGGACCTCGGTTCTTACAAACATAACGAAATGCAAATTAATTAACACAAGTAAAAAGAAGAAGAAGAAGAAGAATCGAACCGGGCTCAAGTGATCATTATTCATAAAATTTCGCCGCAGGTCGCCTCCGCCTGACATCATCGGCCGTTACGGTGGCGGTGGTGCGGCTGAGGAGACTGAGAGTTGACACAAAAAAATTCAATTTGCCCCTAAATATGACGTGGGTTGTTACAGTAAAGCCCAATTATACCACTGCCATTCTTAATTTTCTCTTTTTTNNTTTTTTTGGGTTCGAAAGGGACACGTTGGGTCGGGTACTGGGCCGAGCCTGCCTATTTGGTCGGCTGGATTTTATTTATTTGGACCGACATTATTGGGTTGAAGACTTGAAGTACGAGTTGGCTCACTTGGGCCGTGGTGGTTTATAAAACAACTAGAAAAAAAAATTGGTCTTTTTCTGTTTTTCTGTGTCAACAACCGTTTATTTGAGAAAATTAATATAATTAGTTGTTAGTGAGATTTTAAAAATATATTAAAATAATACTTAAAATTAAAGAATTAAATTGATTTGATGTAAATGTAAGAGATAAAAAGATTGAAAATGATAGATAACTAAAATTATACGAATAGATGAATAGTGAATTTAAGTTGATGTGATATGTAAGAATGATGAAATAATATTATTTAATTATATTAATAATAATAATGATAATGATGTTAAGTTAAAGTTGAGTTAAATTTTGAATTGAGATAGATTTTTTTCTAGTTTTTCTTATAAACAAGCACAACCTTAAGGGGTGATTGTTTGTGAATAAACGAAAAAAAAAATCAAAAATTATATATAACCCAACTTTAACTCAACCTGACTATCTTCAATATTATCAATATAATTAAATAATATCAACCAATCATTCTTACACATCACTTCAATTTTAAAATTTACTATTCATCAACTCACATAATTTTTACTATCACTTCCAATTATTTTTTTTTTCAACTTTATATCTAATAAACTTTAATTATTTTATTTGAATATTATTTCAATATATTCACTAACTAACCAATACCTTTGCAACACTTTTCAATTAACTAAAATCGAATTTTTGTAAAGCTTCAAATTTATTTGAATTTATCACTGAAAATTCACCCGTGAAAAAAAAAGGTTTTGAATATTCTCATGTACTTGGATATTATATTTGAATTTTTCTAACTTGAATGTGGAATAATTTACCAGGAACACATATGCACGAGTATTATCAATATAAATCCCGTTTAACAATTCACATAAAAAATTGTAATACTTTTTTCAAAAATATAAAAAAATAATAAATAAAAAAATAATAAAAAATTGCATATGTATGCTATTAAACATACTTTTTCATGCTCTTTTTTAAAATATGACATTCTAGTTGAAAGTATGCATATCTGCTAACGAAATCATATACGCCTAACCGTTAGGTCTGCCTAACACCAGATTTACTGATTCAACAAATAGGATGTATTGTTCATTTGTTTGCTCCAATTATCAACAAACAAAAGGACCACACATTTGCAGT